AATCTCTGCTTATGTATAAGTGAAGACAGGAAAAGATGGAGAGAAATCATGCCTGTGCTCAGGACATACATAACGAGGTGGGTAGGAAGTCCCACAAATACTTCATTTCCACCTTCCCTGGCTCTTCACAGGAGATATTTTTCTATCCAGGGCTTCCAGATTGAAAGTTATGTTTCCAGTGCTGTGCTGTGCAGTTGGGATTAAAAGGAAAATATGATGATTATCTAGTGAAGATGGACTTTTTCCCCAAAAATCCTTGAATTCTACATAAACCAGTATTTTTAAAAGAGCATAAATGCTTAAAAAGGAGGACTGACACTAAAACCTCTCGCTGCAGTAAGTGCTGGCTCTTGTACGCTGCTGTATTTCCAATACTAGCTCAAATGTTGAAGGCTCTGTATATCATAAACTTGAATTTGCATCAGGAATCCAGAATTCAATGAAACTCATGTAAAAAGAACTGCACGGAACATTTTATCACAAACAGAAAAAAGTTGTGTAGTAATACTGTTGCACTCTGTTACGTAATTAATTATAAAAATAAAATAACCCACCAATTAAAAATTAATTTTAAGCAATGCAAGTAAATTACAGATTCTCAATTATTGTAAGCGGGATGACAGCATACCAGCAAATGATGCGATTTTGTTTATTCAAATACACACAACTGAAGAAGTCGTAACAGTCATCTCATGGCCGTGTCATTTGAAAGACCTCTTGCAATATAGTCATCAACAGCTGTTTGTTTCTAAAAAAGATCCATGGGAAGGGAGCTATTGCCACAGCCCGTTCCCAGGCGCAGGGAACCCTCTCCGCCTTGGCCAACGTGCATACTTCTGTCTCGAGACTCGAGGGTCACAGCTTCACCTGTTCCCAACTGATTTATTCCGGTGGCTGGTGGGACACCAACACATACGTGCCCCCTCCTTCCTTGCACATGGATCCTGGATAACATCTCCTACTGAAATTCTCCTGCGTAATTGCTTAGAACAAGCACAATAGTACTGTTTAGCTCAGATCTACTGAAATTCTCCTGTGTAATTGCTCAGAACAAGCACAATAGTACTGTTTAGCTCAGACATTAAATATATAAAAATCTTCCTAAAGAAAAAGCAGCAGAATAAACATTTCTGGATATGTATTACCTTCACAAACTAAGTAATTATAATAGCCATTATCACACAGTTACAGTGCATAAGCAATGGCTAGAAATCAAGGATTTATGACAAGACACATTGACAAAAAGTTTATTTCTCTGGGCTGTATAATCCTTCGTAAAAGCTACAATCTATTTTAGATATTCAAGAGTGAAGAGCTTAGTACTACCTATCCTCTAAAAAGACATGGAGATTGAGGCATCAGGAGAAATTGCTGTACAAATAGCTTTAATTCTTACATCATAAACCTGACAGAAAAATCTGTCGTATTCTTGTTTAATATATAGTTTCACTCTGCTGTTTTTAAATAGTGCAGCAGACAGTGGGGTTTCTGTTGTGAAACAACACGTGACTCAGAAATCAAAATTAAATTATGTAAACATGAGCAGACACCTTTTGTTATCCACCTAAGCTTTAAACTCAGGTTACTGTGATTTTGCTGCCATTTTGGAAGACTACAAAGTTTTCTTCACAGTCAGAGTTCAGAAAAAGAATTCATTAGTTTTCTAGAAAGGAGAAGAATAATTGAATTTTTACCTCCGCTTGTCCTCAAACCAATTTAACCTTTTTTCCTTAGTTAGAAAAGGCTCAGATAATGTTAACCCTGAACAAAACCCATAATTTATCCCTGACAGACTCCACACAAAATTTAGTCTGAGCACAATTTTTTTGCTTATGGTACCAAATTCAACACCGATAGAGTCTCAGTGAAGCTAACACAATCCACTGCACCTAATACGGCCTCACCGAGAACGCAGTTTCCTATGATCCATATGCCCTAATACGCAGGCACGGGAAGTTAAAGACTGTCACCCATCATTTCCTAGTTTTCCTCATTTATGCAAAACATAGCAAGATGCTATATGTTTGCCGAGTATTGCATAGAAGGCGTATTTATGTAATAATTTTACATAAATAATAGGCATGGCAAAAAAGAATTATTTTTCTAGACTTTGGTGTAGGTGTAAAAACCCTAGTGAAAGATACAGAGATCTCCACATATGTATGCGGAATGACCCTGGCCCCTTAGTGCATTTGCATTTAGTCCATGTATTTAGTCCACACAAGAGGTAGAAGCATTGGTATTCAAAAGCAATAATTCAGTTTAACAGTAAAATAAATTATTAAATAGAAACTAATTCTGTCTTCATAGTTAAGCTCACATCTTCCAATTTTTCCATTAAAATGACTTGTTGAGTTCCCTTCTGCTCTTTATTAAACTTGATACTATTTCAAGAGACAGATGATGTCCAAGTTCTTGCATCACTGTATAGGGCAAAGAATTTGAGCACGTCCTCTAGGATCACAAAGATGATCCCTTATGGGAATGACAGACTGTCATCAGCAACGTCTCCAAAGGTGCCACGTACATCCACCCACTGGACAGAACTGCATGCGCATACTGCCTTATCTCCCAACTCCACATGCAGAAGACTTTTGGAAGCCTTTCTCTCCAGAAATTAAACAAACATCTGTTTAGGGACACTTTATCATGCCTTATAGCAGGGAGATGTATATATTGGCCCTCTTCAATCCAGTCTAGCTCTATTTATCATGTTATTTTCTATGGAGGGTGATGGCGGAGGTGAGGGGGCAGCTTGTGGTTTTATTTAGGCTGCAAGCTCTGCAACACAGAAGCCTATGATCCAACCACGCCTGTCTCACTGATAACAACACACAAACGGTAAGCATAGTAGCATAACAACAGTCTGGATCTCTGTGAAAAAATGGAGACAGTAAAACAAATCTTCTCTAGGAATAGTAATTATAAAGCGAGGAGGAAGGACATCTAAGTACAAGCCACCTGGCAGATCACCTCTGTAGTAAATCATTCTTGTCTACATGACAACACGGGTTCATACTCGATCAACAGAAACACAGGATGCTTAGAGAAAACGCTTTAAACATTCCTAAACTCAATTATTTGGCCAAGTGCCTTCACCGGTAGTTGAAGGAGCTAAGCTGGTGCCTGGCACTGGCCAGTCTGGCATGGCTCCGGGTAACGTCTTCCCCTCCAGCTAACCTTCAGCTGTGAGGAAACATACCACGGGTTAAGGCCAGAAGATACCCATTTGTTACGCAGTAACATGAAAACAGAGTAAATTTCTAAACATATACTAACAGAGAGATACAAACTCCCCAAGCAAAGCAAGGAGAAGGCTCACCCAGAAGATGGAAAAGTTCCTTTACTACATTTCTCAGAACAACCTCAGGGTAGGATAACTTGAAAATATATGGCTATATTTAACCACTGGGATATGTTTCCAAAAGTCCTATGCCAGGAATTTGCAGAGGGGGAAAAAAAAAATGCTTGTGATGCTTTTGATCTTCCCAGCAGAGCTGCTTCCCTGAATTAGCAGCAGATGCCCAGGCAGCAGAGTCCTCCTCGGCTTTGGGGAACTGGCGGCTGATCAACCAGACTTCAGCCCCACTAACCCAGAGGGGGATGGAGCAACAGCCTTGCAAATTTATTGCAGCTAGGTATGGCAATATTTAGACAACACTGGGTGTATAAAAATGCTCAAAATGTTTAAAAAAGCAGGTTAAAGTGAATGCCGGCACTTGAAGACCAAAGATAGAATTATCTTCCACGAGAAAAATACAAGTAACTAAGAATATTTTTTTTTTTTTAAAAAAAAAAAACAGCAGTCATACAAAACACATCAGCTCACCCACTGAGTGGATATTACACACACACAGCTGCTGAGGTGATCCAGATGATTTCAGCTCATATTATTCCTGCCAACAAATTCATCGACGCGTACCCAGCTGTACCCTTTAAGTATGGGCCATATCACACCAACATTCATGTTTATTATCCAATTCTTTGAGAAAAAGAACACAGAAATATGTATAGCATGTGCCACACACACAGACAGTAATGAAGATTTCAACATCTCATCCTTTTTTCTCCAGTAAAACACCAGGGTCCCTACCCAAGCTGGAGAATTTTCATACATAGTGTTCTTTGAGTTTAGGTGTCACATATGTTACAGAACAGCTAGTTTTCAGAATACAAGAAATCAGTCCAATATTAAAATAATAGTCGAATTGCCATCACTAGAGTAGGGTTTCCATGCAAACAAAGTGAACACATTGAAAACACAGCCCTCATCTTGACTTTCATAAAGTCCTTGGGAAGAAATGCAGGCTCTGACCCATGGTGTGCTACAAGATTCTTTATGCTTGCCAGACAAACAGTAGTAGAAAGACCGAACAGTATTATTTCACTAGAACAGCTTGATACCTGCATCAGAAAAACTTCTGGTCAACACATGAAAGAAGTAAATACCTCCTCTTTGTTATTTGATAACACAGATACTTACATACACAAAGTGATCATCCTTAAAAACAATAAAACCCAAACACAAACCCACATGAGAACCACAGTTATTTCCTATTCTATTTATAGGAGGGAGCTGTGGTATTGGTTCAGCCTATGTTCCTTTCAGTTGCTCCAAATTCTTGTCTTGAGTGTCCCACAACTTCCCCAGGCTTAGCACAAGACGACGTGAGTCTGCTTTATCCACCTACAGATTCTCCCATCCTCTTCCCCTCAGCACCGACAGCTTTGCTACTGCTCCACTCCTTCAGGCTTCAGTAACGAGGGTAACACATTATCACTTCTCAGACTTTCACACCTAACATTTGGTTCTTTCTAGACTATCATAATCTGTGATTTTTTTCTATTTTATTTTGAAACTTGGAAAAAATACATTTATTTTCTCATTAGTCTCTACTCATACTTTTTTCTTAAACATATATAGAGATATGTCTTATCTCTTTCCACTGCCACGTTCAGTATTTCTTAACTTTACATTCAAGGTGGCAAAACCCCTCTACCTCTCTTATGAGACACATTGCTGCTACTTCTTCTACCTGTTCTTCCAGTCTCATCTTCAGTTGTGTTTCAACCGCCATCTGTGTCTGTCAACATATCCCCTCATGGGCAAGTATCTCCTCTCTTCTTTGTCTTAAGTCCATGTTTTCAAACCTAACTTTCTTTACTCGGCTCTCTCCCCAGTCACTACTGTTCTGGCTGATATGGACCTTCTCTTTACTTTACCTCACTCTCCACATTAATGCTGTGATCTTTCAAACATGTTGTCCTTTGCCTCTCTCTTATATCATCTAGTCTTTACCATTATCTCATCTGTTATGATTTATCACTTGCATGTAGTAGGTAACAACCATCTTCCTCTCTCTCCTTGCCGTACTATGCAAAAAGGATGTATTAATACACAAGATAATAAAATGCTCAGCTGCCCCACGGTGCTAAAATATTGCTGTGAAAGTTCCTTCAAAGACTGTGACCATTTTATACAACATATTTTCTCACAGACAGAATACAGCCCCTATAGAACAAGACTCCTACAAGCTGCCATTACAGTCAGACTTGACATCTGCTCACTTACGTACCCTATTTTTTATTTACTTTACTATTTTACAAATATAAGCGATACAAACCCCTTTACAATAGGTAACATTCAGCATTCAAAAAGGCACCTACATCAGTAAGAACAATACACGCTACCTAGAAGGGAAGGGACTAAACAGTACTTCCTGTATAGTCCACATTCTGCAAGATACCAACTGTTGAGCTCTAGCATCATCACCAAAACAGGAGGGAGGGAAAGCAAAGACAGCAAGAAAAGCAAAATATCCCTGGTTTTCTATAACCAAAGAGCATTACCAGACACAGCTCTACTCAGGCTTATTGACTTCAGGTTTTTTTCTAGAAGTGTGTAGGAGAGGAAATCAGTCTTGTTTTACCACCTTTGCTCAGTTATCAAGAATCGTGCCAGTATTTTATCATAGAATCATAGAATGGTTAGGGTTGGAAGGGACCTTAAAGATCATCTAGTTCCACCCCCCCTGCCATGGGCAGGGAAACCCTCCACTACACCAGGTTGCCCAAAGCCTCATCCAACCTGGCCTTGAACACTTCCAGGGATGGGGCAGCCACAACTTCTCTGGGCAACCCGTTCCAGTACCTCACCACCCTCAAATGTAAAGAATTTCTTTCTTCTATCTAATCGAAATCTCCCCTCTTTCATTTTAAATCCATTGCCCCTTGTCCTATCACTACACGCCCTTGTAAAAAGTCCCTCTCCAGCTTTCCTGTAGGCCCCCTTTAAGTACTGGAAAGCTGCTATAAGATCACCCTGGAGCCTTCTCTTCTCCAGGCTGAACAGCCCCAACTCTCTCAGCCTGTCTTCATAGCAGAGGTGCTCCAGCCCTCAGATCATCTTTGTGGCCCTCCTCTGGACTCGTTCCAGTAGCTCCATGTCCTTCTTGTGTTGGGGACTCCAGAGCTGAACACAGTATTCCAGGTGGGGTCTCACGAGTGCAGAGCTGAGGGGCAGAATCACTTTCCTTGACCTGCTGGCCACGCTCCTTTTGATACAGTCCAGGATATGATTGGCTTTCTGGGCTGCCAGCGCACATTGCCAGCTCATGTTGAGCTTCTCATCCACCAGCACTCCCAAGTGCTTTTCCTCAGGGCTGCTCTCAATTCATTCTCCGCCCAGTTGTACTTGTGCTTGGGATTGCCCCAAC